TCTGCTTATTCATACTAGAGGTTTGTTGTATTACAATAACTTACAGCTGATGTGCACCTACTTGTTTAATATTCAGAATACACAACTTAAATTGTGTGTTGTAGAAGGTAATCCACATCATTCATGGTGACAACTAAATACATACAGTACGTAAGTAATAGTAAAATTCTGCCAACGACGAGCCAATGGCAACAGAAGTACTCCATTCAATTTCAACGTGGCATCACATTTGTGTAACCCAGGCATGAGTATTGTTGTTTTCTCACACTCTGCCTACAGAACATTGTATCCGTGGTTATTCCACCATTACAAAACTATTATACCAGTCACTGATCCTAAACTAGAGTGTGTGTGTGTGTGTGTGTGTGTGTGTGTGTGTGTGTGTGTGTGTGTGTGTGTGTGTGTGTGTGTGTGTGTGTGTGTGTGTGATTTCCCAGTGGGCGTTACCCTAAAAGCTTTCCTGTTGATGGAGTGATGGAAACACTGCAGTGCCACATGGAGGCTGTGTGTGTGTTTGTGTGTGTGTGTGTGTGTGTGTGTGTGTGTGTGTGTGTGTGTGTGTGTGTGTTTCTTGGCATGTATGTGTGTGTTTTGGTGTGCTTTGTGGTAACTGAGGCAGTGTCGTGCAGCTGAACACAGAGAAGCCAGTCAGGCTGAAGATGCATTCATAATTCATCTACACACACACACACACACACACACACACACACACACACACACACACTTTTTCTGAGGAAGGGCAGGTGCAGGTTAGTGTGTGTGTGCGTACGTGCGTACATGCTTTTGTGTGTGCGCATATGTGTGTGTGTGTGTGTGTGTGTGTGTGTGTTTGCATATGGACATTTTTACTAAAACTTTATTTTGAAAGGTCTGACATGAGGGTGAACTTCATACTGTGTAGAGCCTAACAAGAAATTGTTGTAAATATTTGGTGATTAAAATCGGATGTTTTTTCGAATAGTGTAGATGTTCATTTCAATCATTGTAGTGTTAGGTTGTTTTAAAAAGATGATCCGTAGTGTTTGAATATATTTTTGATTTATTGGCAGTCCGACAATATTGAACATATAAAAGTCCTTCCAGAAATACAAAAAGTAGAAAAAAAACATCAAAAACGCTTACAAAGTCACGAGTTACATTTAACTATTCATACATAAACAAGTCTATTATATGCATGCATTTAGAATTGATATATATAGATAGAGCAAAACTCTCTCTACTGTAAGTGCTGTTTGGTTTTAAAGAAGGGTCTACTGATGGTCCTTTAGCGATGAAGAGGTTAATATCCCAGATTCGCTGTGATTCAAACCAAACCCGAGGAAGGGAAATCGTTATTACTCCCACTGTGGACTTCAAGCAATAAACCGGCGACAATAACTTTTGGTCTGAGGAGCGGCAGCAGCTCCACAGGAAACCTTATTGTGGCGGGATTATTGAATGCAGGACGCAGAGGGAGGAATAACGAGGGCGAGGTTCATCATAAAACACATCTTTAATAACCTGCAGCGTTATATCTTCAGCCCTAAATACATGAGTAACTGTCAGGGGGAGTGAGAGACGGAGAGCAAAGGATCGATAAAGAAACAGATGTGATACACTCTGGAATTTTAATCAACATACTGTCATTCTGCGTCTGTGATATTCACGCATGTTGTCAGGTGATTCTGCATCATTAAAACAGCATTTGTATGTTAATAAATACTAAATATAGCCATGTTAACTTGTTTTTCCCCAATGTTTCTAAACTTAAAGGGGACCTATCATGCACAATGCACTTTTTGATGTCTTTTATACATAAACATGTGTCCCCGGTGTGTCAGGGAACTCACGCAGCGTCAGAAAATAAAACCCTCTCTCTTCTCCTCCGTACCCAAATCTCTAAAAACGGGGCTACAACGGAGCTGATCCAGATTTGCGTCCGATATGACGTAATATCTGAAATGTGGACCCACGGCCTTATCAGAAACGTTGCTATCAGAAACAATGCCCGACTGTTTTGGACGTAATATGGTCGGTGTTTACATTAGCATCGCTAACACTCAGAGCTAACCTTTACTGGAGAGCATGTGTGTGAAGAAGCAGGAAATAAAAAGGAACTCACCTTGTGGTATAACCGGCAAGAGAGAAAGCCTTTGAGCTCCATACTGTTTCAGAAATAATCCTTGATAATCCATGATATGGCGTTTCATCACGGCAGTATTTAGTTTAGACAGTAGCTGCCGGGTCCCGCATGAGCTCAGACCCCTACTTTTTTTTTTTTATCAATTTTTTAAAGCTTTATGCCCAAATCAGCACTTTTGAAACAGGAAGTGAAATAGAGGGATATGAGGCATGGCTAGAATGGGTGATCTGTTTGGTATTTTGAGCAAAACACTTCATAGACATGTCTTTTATATATTTGTATATATCTGAGACCTATGCTAAGGCCTAAAAATAGCATGATAGGTGACCTTTAATGAAAGCAGCACAAAAGTCCTATCCAAAAATGGTAATAAATCATAATTTTACGCCCCGTAATTTTGGATCAGCTCCAAAATGTGATGGGTTCTTCCTTGGCGTATGCTAAACCTAGTTTCATAAAAATCCGTGGAAAAATATATAATATTATCAGTAGCAAATCCTTTATCGTGCCGACAGACGAACAAGAAACATCCTTCGAGGAAATGACAGACCTGCAGTTATTTATTAATTTCATTTTTAATTCAGAGTCTTTTCATTACGTGAATGTTAATGTACATACTTTACTCCTGCTACTGTGCTGTTGATGCATGTTGTCAGGTGATGATTCTGCATCATTAAAACCAGCATTTGTTTTTAAATAAATCATGAACACATCATAAATATAGCTCTGCTTCCTCTCATCATAGTTTGGATTTTTAACTGTGACTTATTTAGCACATGCTCTGTATTATACATGGGAAAAAGGTCATTGTGATCTCTTGTTGATGGGCGTTACCTCCAATTTGCACGTTTCCCACATGGGCAAACCATGCCCAAACTTTACATGGGATGAGAAGATATATTTTGTTCTCAGCTATGTGACAGTATTCCACAAATCCAGTTTCCATTTTGAATTAAGTCAGACTCTTCACCCTGCATGCTGCTTTTTAAAAAATATTAAAAATGCTATCACATTTTTAGGTTCATGTTTTATAAAAATCATCTTACAGGGACTTCTTTCTCCCGTGGATCTTCTCTAAATGCTCCTACTTTCCAATATTCTCCTCCCTTCTACATCCCTCCTTCTTTCTTTACTATTTCCTCTACCATGCCTCCTCCATTACTCCTCTTCTGAATCTCTCTCCCCCTTATTTCTCCCCTCTTTAATCACTATTCTTAGCATTTCTCGTTTCCTCCAATATCCCTTCCCTCCTTTCCTCATTGCTTTCCTTTTATTTGATTTTTGCCTCTTTTCTCCTCACCTTCCCTCCTTTCCTTGTTCCCTTTTACCTCCTATTCTTCTCATTTATATTTTTTTAAATACCTTTCTCCTCTACTTCCCTCTTCCCTTCTTCTTCTTAACATCTCCTCTCCTTCTCCTTTCTTTTGACAGTTACCTTGATCTCCTCCTCCCACTTTCCTTCTGTTTAACGACTCTTTCTCTCCCTTTTCACTTTGCTTATTTTTTTCATTCTTTCCAAATGACCATTTATTTAAACTCCTACACCTCCTCTCTCCTCATTTTGCTTTCTATATCTTTCTCATTCCCCGTTCCCCTAACGTTATCAACATTTTATTTTCCATCTCCTCCTTTCTGCTTTTCCTGTTACCATTGCTCCGTTTTACTTTTTAGTTTCCTCCTTTCTCTTCATCTCTCTCCTTTGCTTCCTTGTTCCCTTACCTTCTCTCCTTCCTCCTCTCCTATTTTCTTTTGCCAACTCCATTTCTCCTTCTTTCTTTCCCTCCTCTCCCCTTACCTCTTTCTCCTGCTTTCCCCCCACATTTTCACCTTGTTCTTCCCTTTTTCCTTCTCCAAATGTATCCTCCCACACTTCCTCTCTCCTCCTTTCCTCTTAAGTACTAATCCTCCTTCTCCTCTGACAGATTTATTCCTCCTCTCCTCTCCTGGTTTGTCTCTCACTCTCTGTCTCTTTTCTGTGTGTGTGTCTCCTGACAGGACGGCCTTACATGGACATGGAGTAAAGCACCTCCTGACGCCTCCTCACTCCCAAACACTCCACCTCCTTTGCCACTAATGCCCCTCCGACCGAGAGGAACAGCAAAACACAGGAGCAGATAAAGGCAAATTAGAGAGGGGGTAAGAAGAAAAAAATCAGCAGAAAGAGAAAGAGAGGAAAAGGACATCCATAATCTCCACTTAGAGGCAGGGCGGCCATTCTGTCTATCTTGCAACTTCAGGAACCATCATCACAATTTAATAAGAATTTGAAAGGCTGCGGCGCTGCAACAAATCCGTCTTCAGAGGAGAGAGAGGAAGCAGACACAAAGGTTTTAACGCTTTCCGTCCTGGATTTATATATTTTTTTTGGTACCTTTTTGTCTTAAGTCCCAGCAGCAATAAACCTGTGACGGCAATATCAGATTATTATTATTCCACACATGATCTGCTCTGCTAGGACTGCTGAGAGTTCAAGAAATTATGTTTTCCTACCAGGAGAGTCTGTGTTGTGAAGTGGAACATTTTGTTTTTTAGGAGGACAGGACGTTCGCTTTGCAGGCGGAAAGTTTTGCAAAAGTATCCAAAAAAGGAAATATATTCCCATCTGATTCCTGAGGGTTTTATTGAAGTGCCTGTTTACCCTGAGGAGCGTATTGCAGGCCAAGAGGAGTTTTCCAGGAAGGCTCTGCACACCTGGAGGAAGTCGGAAACTCGTGAGAATAAAACACGGACCACTGTCAGATGCATCGTCTTTCTCCCTATTTAATGCCATATTTTTCATGGCTTGACACCTAACTGACGCCTCCCTCCTCCCCCCTTCCTCCCCCTTCAACATGTCCGCCCACCTCCTATCTCGCCACCCAAAGAAGTGAGGCGTTAACAACCTTCCCTCAGGTTCATTAGCTCCACTTCAACACAGCAGTCGACTCTCTCCAGGTGGAGCGCGCTGATGCAATATGGCGGCCGGCGTGGCGACGTGGCTGCCGTTCGCTCGGGCGGCGGCGGTGGGATGGCTCCCGCTCGCCAAGAAGACGATGCCCAAACCTCCCATCGACAACTCGTCCAAATCAGATGAGATCCTGTACGTCAACGTGAGCGGGGTCCGGTTTCAGGTGAGGGAGCATGCTCCAAAATATTAGTGATGTGTCGGTCGCGAACGAGCCGATTCTTTTGAACGGCTCTTTGGTACGAACGAGGGGAACCGAGTCGTACTTGGTGAGAGCCGTTCTTTTTATCGTTCAATCGTTGGTCCGCACTCACTGCCTGCCCAAATCCACTCGCCTTTTAAAAAGCTTGATTTTGTTCCCCAAACGTATTCTGTGAAGACCCGCCCCTACTCTGATTGGTAGGTTTCAGCACGAGGAGTGAAATGGGGTGGGTCTTAACGGAATACGCGAGAGAGAGAAGTCATAACAAGTAGTACATTCACTGACATGAATGACATGGATATGGCGCCACCTGTGTCATGTTTACAATGCAGATTATTTACATTAGGTCTGGCAATACAGTCAATCATTATCCTGGTGATTATTTCGCAGATAAACCTAGTAACCCCGCCCCCTTTAAAACAAAAAACGGCTCTTTTGAACGGCTCTTTTGAACGGCTCTTTGAAAGGAACGGAGCCATAAGATCTGGCTCCCTTCAAAGAGCCATAATTCCCATCACTACAAAATATATTAGGGCGGGGGGAGATTTCACCTTTTCTAAATGACTAGTGTCATAAAAGAGTACTGTTCAAATCTTCTGGTGCAACTTTTCCCGCTTCCAACCTGCATGAATAAGGAAAAAAGGTCTGAAAAAGATAAAAACTCAAGCAGTTAAACTGTTTTAAAAATGTGATTCTAGTTATAACTGTGACACATTTTCACTCCAATCAAAAAAGTAAATGGAAATCATATTTTGGATGATTATTGTTAAATATTAAACGTTGTTAAAGGTGCCCAATTATGCTTTTTGGGGTGTTCCCTTTCCTGTAGTGTGTCATATAGGTTTTAGTGCATGTAAATGGTCTGCAAAGGCTAAAATCCCTGTGTGTCCTCAAGGGGGAGTTCCTCTGCCACACTGGCTGAAACGCCTCCATTGGACTGCTGTGTTTACTTCAGGAACATAGCGACATTAAACACGTACTTAAAACGTACTTACCAGATGGAAAGAAAATGGCAGTTTGACACAAAAAGCCACACAATCTCACCATTGACTTCCACCTCTACAATTTTCCTCTCTACAAAAGGACACACAACTCCCTGCGTTGACAATAAACCTTGGCACTTAATTTCCTGTAGAAATTCGGACTTTCTTGTATGTGCAGGAAGTTCTCGTGCAGATATTGATTAGCTTAGGTTTTAAAACTACATTACCCACAAGTCTTTGCTGTTTTCCAGCCAGAGCCTTGGTTCCAGAGTTATTTTGTGCCACATTCAGAGCGCTTGGTTGCTTAAACATTTCCAAAAGTGGATAGATTTGGATTGATTGTTAACATTTCTCTATTTTCAGCTCTGTTGGAGGCCTAGCATGAGAATATGAAGCTCTCTGATTGGTTGTTTCTCACAGCTAAGCTCTCTGGGACTTGTAGTTGACTCTTAAAGTCGTTACAGACGCACGCTTAAATATTTGCCTTTTTTTGATGAAGCAGAAATAGTTAGAAGCTATTACAAAGTCACTAGCTGTCCAAGTATGTAAAATATGGTCACATTACTTCTATGAGGGAAATTAAAAGCAGTTTTACTACCAGATCTGCTTTCAGAGATTCATGTTGCTCTTAATGTGCCGCTCTGCTCCTGCCTCCAGGGCTGGAGGTTGTAAATAAAAACTGTACGTCTAATCAATGTGCATTTGGGCTGAACAAATAACAGGATGACTCCGCAGCAAAAATAGATTTGGTTGGCGTTTAGGAATCAAACAGAAGTGCTTTCTGCTGCGGCGGCAGAACAAGGAGAAAGTTCCTGTCAGACTTTGTCCTCATTTTTTAAAGGTTCTGGTGGTATATATAGAAACACAAACATACAGTATGCCTAATAATATAATCTGAGCATAAAACACGGCCTACTTCACTGTTACCGACAATTAGAGACAGTTCAATGCTCCCATCTTTCTCTGCATCTCAGCTTAAATTGAGTTTAGTTTTTTTTACAATGCAAGTCGCCTGTATGATTTGTTTAAAAGTGGTTCAACTGAGGAGAAGTTATTATATTTGGTCTTATGCTTTTATAAAAGTTTGTTTCTCTGTTTAAACACTCTATTTGTGTTGTGCTGATGGCCACTACAATGTATTTTTTTAAAGTAAAAACATCTCCTATTGGCTAGCGCTCCAACACATTGTACGTGGTTAAGGGGCGGGACATCTCTAAGCGGTTGACCAATCACAACAGAGCCGGCCAGCTAACCAATCAGAGCAAACTGGGCTCTGGTTTCAGACAGAGGGTGAAAAGAGGTGCTGCAGCACAGGCAGTATGAGAAAAATAATAATCTTTTATAAGTTTTATTATATTTTTTCATTAATTTAATAGGATTTTTTCTGTGGCACCTTCAAAATAAGAGTTCTGTATCCCTCTTTTTGCATCATATAATCATAAGAAAAACACACTTCAGATGAAATAGTAAAGCTACAGATTGTTCATCATCCTTTCTGTGGTCTCTCTGCAGACATGGAAGAACACTCTGGACCGTTACCCGGAGACGCTGCTGGGCTCTTCAGAAAAAGAGTTTTTCTACAACGAGGACACTCAGGAATTCTTCTTCGACCGAGACCCCGAAATGTTCCGGCACATTCTGAACTTTTACCGCACGGGGAAGCTGCACTACCCGAGGAACGAGTGCATCCAGGCCTTCGACGAGGAGCTGGCCTTCTACGGCATCGTGCCCGAGATCATCGGGGACTGCTGCATGGAGGTAACTGCACTTCCTGTTAGGGACAGAGAAAATAATGTTGTTGTTTCGGAGGTGTTTTCAAAACCCCTACAAAGGAGATTGTGATGGAAATATGGAAAAGCAACAGATTTAAAGTTGTTATCGACATTTTGCATCATGTTTATTAATTAATATATATATAAAATTATACATACTAGATATAATGAAATATATTGTATTTTATTTTATATAAATAATGTATTTTACTCATATTTAACCATTATCTATTAATCGCTGTTTAGGTATATTTTACTCCAGAGTAAAAGTAACCCTCCCAGTGACTAATTTTGTTTATTGATTACATACATTTCTAATAAAAAAAAAATGGTATAGCTTGATTTGCATTGAGAAAATGCTCTCCACTTACAGTACAGAAAAGCTCAAGAACATATATATATATATATATATATATAAATACTAGAGTTTAGTATTAGACTTTGATACAAATGAAAACATGATGGAATTTCTTTTTTTTAAATATTAATTAAAAGTCAAATATTGAAAGCTTTACACCAGAAACCTTTTTAAAATGTTACACAATCACTATAATAAAGGCAAAAAGTAAAATTATTTAGAAGTATAATTTAGTTTTATCAATGAAAACTGTAACATTAACAAATAAAAAGTTGTTTTTTTATAATCTTTTATTTCCAAAATGAACACTGCTTTCCTTAATTTCTCGGTTCCATCAGATACGTTTCTGTGAAGCAGCTGCAGCCTCATGTTTATGGACTAAAACAGAAGTTTGCTGCTCAGAAAAGTAGTTTTTATTTCCAGATGTATTTGCCATTCATCTTCCACAACAATTCACAGTGCTGCTACTGATGAAGATCCCACCTTCCTATGCAGTGACAGTCCTGTAAAGGAGGACATACTGCTCTTACTTCCACATTTTTTACATCACTTGCGTCATGACTCGTGTACTTCGGTTGATGCAGTGACCTTTGGATTTATTCCTGAAGCTTCACTGTAATGTTGGTGATTCTGCTGCTGCACTCATTAAGTCTCTTTGGAGCGGAGATCATCAGCTAAATGAGTAAAGTGTAAAAACATGGAGTGATCTGAGGAGGGGGGTTTCTAACAAGCGCTGCTGTCAGACTTCATTATAAAACTCATTAACACGGCAGTAATGAGCTGAAAACACCGGAAGCACACATGCAAGAGAGTGGTGAGAGCAGGGATGATGTTTTTTCTGTAGAGCCAACCCTGAAGTTAGTATTGTAATGGCTCCCATGGCCAAAAGCCAGTGGGATTTTTCCATCCGAAAATATTCTGTGTGTCAAACAAACGTTTATCATACTTACACGTTTTGTTCAACAGGATAATCTCCACATATCAACACCACTTTATGATTTGAGAAGTAAAAAGCTAATGTTGGGCTATAAAGGAACTACAGCACGGTCACATGACTTCACGTCACCACCGCTAAGCTAAAGGTGGCTAATGTTGGGCTATAAAGGAACTACAGCACGGTCACATGACTTCACGTCACCACCGCTAAGCTAAAGGTGGCTAATGTTGGGCTATAAAGGAACTACAGCACGGTCACATGACTTCACGTCACCACCGCTAAGCTAAAGGTGGCTAATGTTGGGCTATAAAGGAACTACAGCACGGTCACATGACTTCACGTCACCACCGCTAAGCTAAAGGTGGCTAATGTTGGGCTCTAAAGGAACTACAGCACGGTCACATGACTTCACGCCACCACCGCTAAGCTAAAAGCGGCTAATGTTGGGCTATAAAGGAACTACAGCACGGTCACATGACTTCACGCCACCACCGCTAAGCTAAAAGCGGCTAATGTTGGGCTCTAAAGGAACTACAGCACGGTCACATGACTTCACGCCACCACCGCTAAGCTAAAGGTGGCTAATGTTGGGCTATAAAGGAACTACAGCACGGTTACATGACTTCACGTCACCACCGCTAAGCTAAAGGTGGCTAATGTTGGGCTATAAAGGAACTACAGCACGGTCACGTGACTTCACGTCACCACCGCTAAGCTAAAGGCGGCTAATGACGTTTAGTCGTCTCATTTGGACACTTGTTAGCAAGCGCTGTTTTTAAATTCACGAGTGGGGTTTTTAGTAACGTCATAGAACTAAAATCTCTTCAGCTTGTGCTAACCACAGACCTTTTTTCAGGCTAACAACCAAATAGACATTCAAAAGACCATTGAGCTCCATGACGAGAGAACAGGAAGTGCTGAAATACTCATTTCCAGGTTATAGGACTCATCCCTGCACCTTTTAATGCTCCTGATTTTGGCTTCCTACTTTAGTTTTTCTGTATGTTTTATTATTAACATCCCTACTTAAATAACAAATCACCTTCAGAGCTCTTCATATACCCGTTTGTCACATTACCCTCGTCTTCACTTGCTCTTAAATATTCATATACTTTGTTTTATATTGGACCAGTGCACTGACTAATGAGCTGGAAATATATTTCCTCACATTTGGCAGACTCAAAAATGTTGGTTTAACTGTGAGAGATTCTCATTTCTGGATTTGTTCTCTTACACTTCCCACACAACTTCCCATGAGAAACAGTCCACATGCTTTTTATTTTTATACTGCTAGTAATTTCACAGATTCTGCTGCTTTTCTTCTCTGGTAATTATTGAGGCAAAAACATTTACAGAAGCAGATTTACTTCCTTTGAGACAAGTGTATTAATCACTCTGAAGGTCACTGCCTTTTGTGGGAGTTTAAAGTCTTATTAATGTATTCCACTTTCTATTTATTAACTATAGTTGGCTTGCTGGCTTGGTAACAGCTGACAAGTGCTTGGTGGCTCTAAATACATTCAATTGAGGCTGTGCAAAATGCGTTATTGGTGTTTCAATAGAAAATGCTCTGTATTTCTTTAGGAGTTACTTTGTCAATACCTGTGGTGGCATGTGATGTGGGACAACATTTAATGTATTCCCATTATTAGTGCACTATCTTGCTAAAAAGCTAACAGGAGAAGCCGCTAACCATATTAGCCCGGAGCTAATGGAAAACAAATATCTGATAGGACACAAAGCGACCATAGGGCTGTGAAAATGGTTGTACTGTGTTTATCTTTCATAGGTACAACACTTAAATAGACAGTTGCACAAACAAAATAAAATGGTTTGCTTTATCAGTTTTGACAGGAATCAAGATTGTTTTCTGCTGTGCCGTCTTCAAAATAAGAGCTTCCCTCTTTGCCAGCAGGTTGACAGCATCATCCAATTCAAAATAAATAAATAAATCTTCAAAAAAAAAGAAGAAATGTAAGTTATCATAAAGCATAAAATATATTAAAATGACTAACTATTCTAGATTGACATGTAGACATGAAGCTAACATGAAATCGTTACATTTTCAACCTTTTTTCTCATTATTTAAAAGTGGGGTAGGTAATTCACTTCAGAAACACTTGTTGTTATATTCCATAGAATGCTCTTAACATCCCGATAGCAATGAATATATTAAATGCTTTGACAATAAATACATACAAAAATATTTAATCTGTGGAAGCCGTGGCGCTGTAAAAAGCACGACCAATCAGTTGAGCCGGCCCGGCTAAAATAACTTGATGGCCTACCTGCCTGTCAGCCTTCCATCTGTGCACAAACTTATCTCGTGCCCTCATTGGTCATGTGCGCGTTCGTGTGTGTTGGAGGAGGGGCTCTGTAAGGAAGTCTGAAGGAAGGGGCAGATTTTTTCCGGTTGTGTATTTTCAAATTCTAGCGCACTCGAGCTGGTTTCTCCATTCTTACCTACCCTACCTTTAAGTTGAAAAGCAAGATAAAAATCACTTTTTGTTTAAGCAAGACTTATTAACCTGTTAAACCCGGTTGCCCCCGCTGTTAATAGTTGTAATAGGATGATTTAGTAAATTGGACTCTACACCGTCAATGATACTTTTGGTTTTACTCATATATCATCTTCCAGCTGCCAAACAAATTATTTTGCATTTCTTTGTTTTTAGGATTTTGTATTCTGATTTACTGTGAGGTACCATGTGTTTTCAAAATCTCTAACTTGATGAAATATGATAAATAATGAGGTAGGACTGCTCGATTATGGCAAAAATCATAATCTCGATTATTTGGGTCAATAATTGATATCACGATTATCAAAAACGATTATCCATTTACTTTGAAAACATCCATTTATTGAAAAAACAAAATGTGAACAGTATGTTTTTAACAGTTGATTACCCTGAACGTTAAGCATAATTCAACTGAAAAACCAATAAAAATAATAATAATAAAAAAATAATATTATTAATAATAAAAAAATTATCGTTTTATTTCGATTACATTGTTTTCGTAATCGCTGCAAGCCAAAATCGTAATTGCGATTAAAATACGATTAATTGAGCAGCCCTATAATGAGGCTGATCTTGTCTCTCTCTCCCTGTCTTTGTGCAGGAATACCGGGATAGGAAAAAGGAGAACCAGGAGCGCCTGGCGGAGGACACGGAGGCCAACGAGGGGGTTGACGCCCCGCTGCCCCCCAACAGCACCTCCAGGGAGCGGCTGTGGCGAGCCTTCGAGAACCCGCACACCTCCACCATGGCTCTCGTCTTCTACTACGTCACCGGCTTCTTCATCGCTGTGTCGGTCATCGCCAACGTGGTGGAGACGGTGCCGTGCCGGCCGCCCTTAGGCAGCGTGAAAGATCTGCCGTGCGGCGAGAAGTACAAGGTCCCCTTCTTCTGCATGGACACGGCCTGCGTGCTCATATTCACCTTCGAGTATCTGATGCGCCTTTTCGCCGCGCCCAGTCGCTGCAATTTCATGCGCTCCGTGATGTCCGTGATCGACGTGGTGGCCATCATGCCGTACTACATCGGCCTGGTGATGCCGGAGAACGAGGACGTGAGCGGCGCCTTCGTCACGCTCCGGGTTTTCCGCGTCTTCCGCATCTTCAAGTTCTCGCGCCACTCGGCGGGCCTGAGGATTTTGGGCTACACGCTGAAGAGCTGCGCCTCAGAGTTAGGCTTCCTGCTGTTTTCTCTCACCATGGCCATCATCATCTTCGCCACCGTCATGTTCTACGCCGAGAAGGGCACCAAGGGCTCCACCTTCACCTCCATCCCCGCCTCCTTCTGGTACACCATCGTCACCATGACCACGCTCGGGTGAGTTGAGAACTTCAATATCTGGAGGCAAAAAGCAGGGATTGTTTTTTGTTTCAGAATCAGAATAGGTTTATTCGTCACAAAGAGGGGGCATTTACAATATAGAAAACGACTCAGTGGTGAGTAGGAGCTGCTGTATTGCTAAGCAACAAACCTCTGCAAGAGTTTAAAGGTTTCATAAAGTTTTAGAAAACGTTCTGTGCTTTTATTTGACTCTAATTGTAATCGAGCAGTATCTGTTCCCACGGCGGTGACCCTGTCTTTCATCTCGCCTCCTGTGCAACTTCAAGAAAATGGTGCATGGTTCGGCAGTAATGTCTTTCCTCCATTTTCTCCACACCTAAAGAACGAGTGCAGTTCTAGGGTGCAGTTGCTATTTTCTTATGGATTAGGTGTGCTGTTACACTGAGGTAGTGATGGTTTTCCATTTGGTGCATTGGCTTGTGCCGGTTACTCTGCCTTTGAACTGCCAAGGTAAACTGTCAAGGTAAACATGCACACTGGAGATATGGCAGGATGTTGTGATTGTTGTTGGGTGATCTTTTTTTAACGCCTTAAAGTTGCAGATTAATTGTGACAGGTAATGTGTTACCGTTGACAGCCCCTAGTGTGTATAAAGTGCTGTAGTGATGACGTATATTGTAGGCCAACCCGGAAGTTACCATCACAAGGATTACCTCAATAAAACACCAATGTGATTTATATCATTGAATTTTTGAATATATTGCAGTAGAAATAAGATTAAATCAAACCAGTGGGGTATTTACTAACATATTTCCTAACAAAATCTCACCAACTGGTTTTAACCACAGACCTTTATTCAGGCTAACAATCAAAAACACATTCATAAAACCATTGACATCCAGTAAAGTGAACAGGAAGTGCTCAAATACGGACTAATTTCTAGGTTTAATGACACATTCCTGCACCCATTATTTTCTTCTCCGACTGCTGTGAAAAACACTGCTGTGGCTGTTAATATTATCACCATGGCAACTTGATGAGTGTGTGTGTGTGTGTGTGTGTGTGTGTGTGTGTGTGTGTGTGTGTGTGTGTGTGTGTGTGTGTGTGTGTGTGTGTGTGTGTGTGTGTGTGTGTGTGTGTGTGTGTGTGTGTGTGTGTGTGTGTGTGTGTGTGCTCTCCGCTCTCCTGTTTTGTTGTGTGTGACGGATTATTGGTCGTTATTATTGGTTACGGAGGAGTTTTACAGTCTGTTTTTCCACCAGGAAAAGAGATGAAAGTGTGAAACCGCTTCTCCAGTACGATGGTGTATCTTCACCCTGCTGCCGCCCACACACACTACACACACACGCACACACACTCACACACACATACTGCAGCCATGTGTGTGTTTCTGTGTGTGTGTTTCTTCGCCCTGCAGCTCTCCAGCACTGATCTATTATCTGCTGTTCAAAGAGCCTTTGGAAACATCAGAAATAGAGAGTGAGTCAGTGAGAGTACATAAGCTCTGACTGTAATGCTTTTAACACACACACACACACACACACACACACACACACACACACACACACACACACACACACACACACACACACACACACACACACACACACACTTGGCTATATGATTCTACACACACCTACCTGTCTGTGAATGAGGGAGATGTAGTGTGGGTTAGAAAGGTGTGAATGGGAGAGTGTGAATGACTGTAGTAAAAACCAACAGGAGTGTGAAGGAGCTTTTGTTTGTTTTATTGAATGAAAAACCTTATTTTTCTCCCCACATTTTTTTTAATTTCAGTGGAGTTTAGTTTGGGGAGTCACACTTTTTTAAAATGATCAACTGTAATGTGTCTTTAGCTCTCAGGTCTCTTATTTTGGCGGTGTTGGTTGTTTCCTATTCACTGAGGCTTTTATTCTGAAAAGCTCCCTCCCATCTACTGTCGTCGCTTCCTCTCCTCTCTTCTTGTTTCCTCTTTCCTTCTCCTTTCCTTGTTTCTTCCCTTTCTCTCCCCCTTTCTCTATCCTCACTGTGTTGTCCTCACTTGTTTCCTCTCCTCTTCTCCCCTTTACTTTCTCCCTCCTTCACTCCCTTCTTCACTCCCTTCTTCACTCCCTTCTCCTCCTATACCTCTGTGATTTCATCCTTAAGTGATAATGTGACAGGGATCTGGTATCTCCTTGCAATAGTTTAATAAAGGGAAGTGGTTTCTCTGCCTTCTGGATGCATTTACAGACCAACTTCTAAATGCATCCACAAGGCAGCAAAACACAACCCAGGCTTTTACCTCCCCCCCTTTTCCTCCCCCCTTCTTCTACTCTCAGTTACTTCCTGTTTCCTTTTAGGCAGTATCTCTCCATTTGTCTCCTCAGTATAAAAGGAGGTGTTGATTGTATTCATCACCAAGATCCAGATGTTCAGAGATGTAGATTGATAAGAAGACTCTTGTGTTCTTGTCTAAAAGGTTGTTTTTATTTATAAATGACGTTAAATTTGGTCAAAGTTGCGTCACGTGGTGTTGCAGAAATGATAAAGCCTTTTCCCTACCTGAGAAATATGAAAAAAAAGCTGGCTTGTAATTAAAATGTCAGGATTTCATTATTTATAAAACTCAATTGACCAACAAACAACAAACATAGGATTGTGTTTTTTTCATGAGCGCCTCGCAGTTCTCCAAAGAGGTGTTTGGCATGAGTCCTAAAGTCAGTCCTTTATGAAGATCATAAATATGTTATGAATCTTCCTCTGCATACAGGACAAGCTCTGAACGTTTATTTACCACATTACAGAGCAGGCACACGACCCTCTCTAAAACCACAGAGAACATCTCATGTATGTTGAGTTCAGACTCTTTAACTTTGCTCTATTTCACAGAGTTTCTCATGCATTTCACTCATAAATATTACAGAGCCTGTTCACACTTCACTGAATAATAATGTTTGTTTAAATATCACAGTGTTTTATTGTTGCTGGGAGCTTCTCCTGGTTAGGATTCCTTCAGAGTTCATGGTTCAGGAGGTTTTTTAGCATCTCAAAAACGGTCAATAAACGTTCAGCTGGACGTTCAAAATCTGAGCTTCTCTTAGTCTGCGGGTCAGGTTAGCGCAGCTTGTGTCTCCGTAAACTTCACATCCAGACGTCCCATCACTAAAATCGTATGTCCAGTTGAAAATAGGTGAGGTCAAAATGTGGCTTAAAACCGAATAAAAAGTAACTTTATGACAGCTTCGGACAGACAACGGTAACACGCTCAAAGGAGAACACGATCACAGGACACTACAGGAAACAAATGTATTTTTTAAAGACTAAATATGTGTTAAAATACATTTTTAACAAAGTATTGTGGAGCTTCAGAAATATCGTATTCTCCAAATTTAAAGGGGACCCATCATGCAAAATGCACTTTTGTACGTCTTTTATACATGAATATGTGTCCCCGGTGTGTCAGGGAACTCACCAAGTGTCAGAAAACACAACCCTCTCTCTTCTCTTCCATACCCAAATCTCTAAAAACGGGGCTGCAACGGAGCTGATCCAGATTTGAATTGTTCTGACGTCAGAAACAGGGAGCTCCGCCTATATGGGCAACTCTCCACCTATCAGGGGAATGGGGGGTTGGGTCACGGCCATTGCCGCTCGAAAGCGCTGGAGACGCTGTAGTACATATGCCAGGCCTGTAAGTGGCGCTGTAGTCTGCCACAAAAGCAGCGAAGAAGACTTCTCACAGAATCAGCCCTTGCAAAAACAGGGCTGGAAAAGAGCAAATAGAGCAAAATGAGGCATGGCTAAAATGCATGATCTGTTTGGTATTTTGAAAAAAAAACTTCACAGACATGTTTTATATAGGTATGGCCCTACAATATATTTTTCAAATATAGCATGATAGGTCCACTTTAACAAAACATATTTGTTTGGTACAGATCCTCTTTTTTTCCTAATCAATCAGGCCTATTGACCACATCTAATTCACATTATCAATATAAAACAAAGTGTCATATTATTATGAAAATGGTCCATGTTATATTTGAAGTTTACGACCTTTCTGCACCCAGAAAAAAAGCAGATGTAATGTTGATGGTTGAATGGAAAATCAGCAGGACTTTAAATGTGTTTGTAATTAAATTAGCTGCAATATGACACACAGAAACGGCCCTTTTTTTAGTTGTCTTTCTGTTTTTTAGTAGAAATGTTGTGATGATTTTAAATAGTGTTTCAGAAGATTTTACAGCGTCGTGATCCAGGAACCTTTATTAATTAAATTCAGCTTAAACTTGTTCTCCTTCTGGGTTTTCTCCTCCCTCTTTCTGCTCGTCTGTTTCTTTTTGTTCACTTTGCTATCATTGTTTTTCATCATGCTGCTTTTATTGCTTTGCTCCTGTGTTTTATCACTGTGCAAATAAACTGGAAGTGAAATCATAAACCTCGTGCAGCCCCCTCCAGAAGCAATAATCCGCTGCCAGGAATAACATGTTTGTGTCTGGACTCCAGATAATCCACATTCCCCTCACGGTGCTCTGATCGTAACCGAAAAACACCTTTCAGTACAACAATGAATCTGAATCTCTCCGGAGAAATCCCCCATTAAGGCGTTAACGAGCTGAAATTATCTTACAATGGTTTCTGCTCGTGGGCAGCTGGAAAGGAGAAATTACAACAATTACAAATTAGAAACTCAACAGACTCCATTTCGTTGATTGCTTTAATTTTTTATGCATTTTCAGATGGGCACAGAATATAATGAACATCAATAAAACAAATTACGAAACAAGAAAACATTAAAGGGGCCCTATTCTGTTTGTTTTCAGGTGTATATCAGTATGTAGTGTCTCTACTTTAAAGAGTCCTCTCCTGCTGATGTTCAGGTGTATATCAGTATGTAGTGTCTCTACTTTAAAGAGTCCTCTCCTGCTGATGTTCAGGTGTATATCAGTATGTAGTGTCTCTACTTTAAAGAGTCCTCTCCTGCTGATGTTCAGGTGTATATCAGTATGTAGTGTCTCTACTTTAAAGAGTCCTCTCCTGCTGATGTTCAGGTGTAT